AAGGAAACTCCAAAAGGACACCAAAGAACCAAATGATATAAGGAGCCCATATAAGCACATATGAAAGAAAAAAAATGCTAAAAAAAAAACAATTGTATAGCATGTGTACAGTGCAACAGCAAAGAGCTTTTTTGCACTGCGATACCGAACAGGACCACATACGCTCTGATTGAAGCCGGTCACTGTATGTAGATAACCAGGTCCTCTAATGATTGGGATAAATCAAGACACCCTACCGCGAGTATCCCGACAACGACTATGACTAATGATGATATTATTAGTCTGTGCTATTCCTAAGAAATCATCTCAACAATGTAGTATAGCAGCAGATAAATACAGATAAAATAATAATAAAACATCTTTATATGTAATTTTATATCACTAAAATGAAATAGGAAGCCACTAACAGATGCTCACATCCACACAGGTGCAACACTTGCTTCTCCTTTTTCTCTCCTCCTGATCCCATGTATCCTGCCATATTTGATTAATATTGTCTTTACTGATAACTTTAATTCATGATTTACTATAGGAAAGCAGAATAACCATGGTGGGATGACAGTCATACTTATTGTCTTACAGCATACAAAAGTGTCTATTCCCATTTCCTTGTCTTCTATTCCCCTATTCTTTAGTTTGGGTTAAACAAATACATTTTGCTTGGTTGGAACAGCAGCTACGCTAATTATGTCTCTATTTGTTTCTCTGTTTTTTGCCATCCCGTGGTAACTAGGATTTACACAAGCTTCAGTCTGGATCCAGAACACCTGAGAAGAGATGATGCCAACCCCTCAGAGGACCTCAGATGATGCCAACCCTGAAACAACATACAGAGCTACCACATTTTGCTATAAGTTTGATTGCATCTAATAATAATTGCTGTTAATACTGTTCATCGTCTGTTTTATTACGTCTTTAATTGATTTTTTTCGTACATTTCTGCCATATGTACATAAACTGACAGTCACCACTGATAAGCTACCACTAAATATTGTAGAAACTTAATTTGCTGTAAAGTTGCTTTGCAATGATTTGTATCGTGAAAAACGCTGTACAAATAAACTTGAATTGAATTGAACTTTAGCCTGTGCTTTTTAAAAATTCTTTAAATTATTTAATGAGTGATTTGATTTAAGCATTTTGAAAGCTTTGTTCCTAGCTTTTATTGTTTTGTTTTTTTTACTTTTTTCCCCCTTGCCCCAGATGTTTTACCTATAGCTTCATCTGCTGATTCATATATTATACTTGTAATCGTATTATTTAGTTATTCAATGTCATCACTCAAATGTGGCATGACCTCAATTAATTTACTACTTGCTTTAAATCTATACAGATCCCAATTAGCCTCTCTCACTCTCATTTACTTACTACCTTGAATGAAAGTAATCACTCCACCCCTATTGCAGAACTTCTATCTTTACGTACTGCTGTATAACCATGAATGATACAATCAAGTGATGGTTTTAACCAGGTTTCCTGTATACAAATGATGTTTGGTGTAACAGATAATTATTATATGAAATGTTTTAATTCTTGTCCATTAGCAGTTAAGACTTCTGGCATTCCATTATAAAATGGATAATGCCAACAATGCCCACCACCACCACATGTTGATTGTGTTTCAGATATCCCTGTTGTTAGTGATGTTTTAATTCTTGTCCATTAGCAGTTAAGACTTCTGGCATTCCATTATAAAATGGATAATGCTATCAATGCCCACCACCACATGTTGATTGTGTTTCAGATATCCCTGTTGTTAGTGTTGCATTGATTAACTTTTCTGCTGCTTTTGTGATTATCTTGATTCTCTCTGTTCTACTGCTTGTTTGTGCTGAGCAGTTGATGACTTCTACTAGGAATATCACAAACTTCTTTTCCACAATTAATGTGTCATTAGTAATTCTGCAACTTTTCTGTGCTATGTTTTGAACTGGGGGTTGAACCACAGGCACCGTCCTAGATATTGCATATGTATCTACTTTCCTAATTGCTTCAGCATGAGTAAGCTTTTCTTCAATTCTCAGGTTTTGAACTTGCACTGGTCTTTTATGTGCTTCACATCCTTTATATGCAGCACTATGTTCTCCTCTGCAGTTACAGCATTTAATTTTTGTTTATTCCTTGCATTTCCCATAATCATGTTCCCCTCCACACTTTGCACAATGACTTTTGGCCCTACATGCTGCTGCAACATGTCCGTACCACTGGCATTTAAAACACCTTGTTGGTGGAGGAATGTATGGTCTTATTTCTTTGTATTTCCCTCGCTAACATTACTCCAATCATCAAGCTCCTCCATCTCGTCTACATCGATCTCACTTCCTGGATTCATCTCATTTCCTGCTAATCCCGGATCACACCTCAGTCCTCCTGGATCCTCCATCCAAGCCTCCTCCCGTCCCCGCAACACTGAGACCTTCACTTCCAGGTCAAGAAACTCTCAATCAAAAACTCGGTAGCCAATGAGAACACACAGCTGCTAGCCCCGCCTCCATGAGAGATTTGTGCCAGAATGGCGAATGAAAACTTCAGAAGCGTAAATTAAAACTCTGGAAGCACATTTGTACAGATCAGCAAAAGAAAGAGAAGAAAGCAGTTAGCAAAACATGCAGTGTATTAAAAACGAAGTCAAAGATTTTGCCTGTGATTTATTTATTTTTTTATTTTTAGTTTCAAATCATTTCATTCAGTTTCAATTTATATTTTCATAAGTTTCTTGAAAAATTAGATTCATTTTTATTGGCACAAAAGTAATTCCATATAAGTGTTTATTGTAGTGTTTATTTAACCAAGAAAATGGGACTGACACATTAATTTACATTTGATAAATAAAAAAAAACAAAAAAAAAACTTTCTCTTCATTTCAGAATACCACCGCACACCATATATATTTATTTTTTAGATGGAACACAAGTATCAAGTAATTGAGGTACTTTGCAGTCTTATAAAAGAACTGGAATTTCCTCAGCCTCTGAAACAACCAGGAAGCACAAAACAAAACTACTACACACTGGAATCCACTGTTATTTGTGTGTGCTTCAATGGCTCACTCAGCTTAAATACATATTTCGGCATCTCTGTCAGCTGCAAAGAAGCCAAACATATTATGATATATTCCTAATTTGTTAATAATACATTGCATGAATATGTGTCATATGCTGTAATGTCATTCAATGTCCGCAGAACAGTCGAGGACAGTTTAACATTTGCTGGATCCCTGCAATGCCATATTTCCATATGGCAATTGTGCAGAGACAAATTCCTGTTTAATGATCAGTCTGTGTGAGAAAGAGCAGTGATCAATAATCATACAGAAAACACTATGAGGCAGATAAGAGAGAGTCCCAGAATACAGTTGAGAGAGACGCTTGCTTTAAAACCTGCTTTCAGCAACTCAGTGATGAATAATGAAGACCTATGACTAAGCACACTAAAGAGAATGATCCACATTTCTTGCATTGTATTCTTGTAGAAGTTTTAGTCACAATTTTCTTTTTATTGATTAAATGACTGAGTCATAGAGTTTGGGCAGAAAATGATCAGTGCTGGAACCGGCTCTAACTGGTTTGTCCACTGTAGTCTTGACAATATGTTTACCATTACTACTCATTTGCCTTGAATATAAATGTGGACACACCTTGTTTTGTAGTTCTAGTTTTCTATTCTTTTTGGCTCAAGTTGTGAAATAATTTATGTGTATATTTTCCATTGTACAAAGGATGTTTTTTTTTTTTCATTTATGAAATAATTATGTATATATAAACGTTCTTAACTCTCTAAATACTATACAGAAAGCTTTTATTTTTTTACTATTTATCTGAAATAAAGTTGATTCTTTAAAACAGCTAAAATAAAATGCAATTCTTGGACATACAAGCCAATAACATTAATCAAATTTGCCATATTTTTCTGCAATTAAACACATTTTGGAGTTAGTAAATAAATCAGCACTGTTCAAAAAAATATAAAAGCGTCCAGACGTTATCACTGAATGTGCACAAATAAAGGAGGGCGGAGTTGAAAGAGTGCAGCTGAAACTTTTGAAACACATACTTCCTTGTGTTAGTCATTTCTGCAAGATGATGACTGCGAATAGAGTAAGAAGGTAAGAAGCTGGTTTTATTATTATTATTATTATTTTAACAACTAGCTATGTTTTATTTAATCTTTAAAAATTAAATATGCATGACATATCAATGATATAAAACACAGTCTAGGAGTCCATTACATAATAATCATGATAATGATAATAATAATAATAATAATATATAATTTTCCTCAACCAGAAAAATGCCACCTGGGATGGTGAACACCCGCGAGTTTAACAAGGAGAACTTCAAATCCTGTGGGCTCCAGTTAATTTTTCATGTAATGAAAGAATTTAAAAAAGAGCAAAACAAACTAAGAACTCATGTGAACGAGGTATGTCACACACACGGGGCGTCGCTCATGGGTGGTGGGGGGGAAAGAGTGACAAAGTGCACAGGGCCCAGAGGTTTTAAATTACAGCTCATGCGAAACAGCAAAAAGCAAATACTCCAAAAAAGTGTGAAGCGGCACGACCTGATCATCTGCCAGCCGTGCACAAAAGCAGACCGGGATCAGTCACCATGTAAAGCCATAAACAGCGCAAGTCGCTTGATCCATTCAGATGTGACAGAATTGTGGTACACAGTTGTGTGATATGAGATCATTGAAGGTTCTGTAGTGATGCTGCTGAAAACAGCCACGAACATGTGAACTGCATGACGAGGTAAACTGGAAAACGCCAATAGCCTACATAATTACAAGCTTCCATCATTTAACTTGCCGTTATTAACACTGTACAAATAGCCTAAGGTGTTTTGGCAGAAATTTATTTATTATAAATGTTACTGTTATTACTTATATGAAATATTGGAGACTTTTATGGAAGTTGTTTTTGTAGTTTCTACATGTTTATTTTTTATTGTTATTATTATTATTACAAATGTCATTGTTTATTATTACTTAATGTTTATTAAAAAAAAACATATTTCCTAACCATGGTAATGAGGACCATGGTTTTACTTGTTGTGACCACCATCAAACTCTGGAATCTATGCAAGAGCTATAGTATATTTCATTAGGGCAAAGGATAATTTAACAGAATTGCTTTAGTAGCTTCTTTCTCTTTAAATGTTTAGTTCTAATCAATTTTATTTTAAGTGAAATGTTAATTTAGTAAGAGCCTGATTAAAGATAAATATCATTGTCTTAAATAAATAAGGTGTTTACTATTTACAAATGTTAAAGTTCTTAAAGGGATAGTTCACCCAAAAATGAACATTGTCATAATTTACTCATCAACATCATGTCATTCCAAACCTGTGTGATTGTTTTTTCTTCTGTGGAACATAAATTAAGATAATTTGAGAAATTCAATAAATTGTTGTCCATACAGTAGAAATCAAGGGTAACCAAAATGGTTTGGTAACATTCTACAAAATATCTTTTGTGTTCCACAGAAGAAAGTAAGTCATGCAGGTTTGGAATGACATGAGGCTGAGGAAATCATGACAGAATTGAATAGCAGAAAAATACAAAAAGCCAAGGCAAAGAATCTGCACACCAAACGAAATGCAGAGTTCAAGGTCCTTAGAACAGGAGTTTATTCCTGAAGATTTACATGGAGGTGACCAGGGCCGTAGCTGGGGTTTGCGGGGCCCCAGTGCAGGTTGTACCAGTAGGCCCTGTTTGAAAGTATTGAATTTGTATGTTCATTCTATTTATTTAATTGTGCTATTTACACAATGTTTAAGTTTGTAGGTGTCCAAGTACAGAAACCAAATAATCAAATGTAAAATAGCACTGCATAGTCTTCACTGTAAAAATTAAATATAGAGTCAAACCAAAATTGATTCAGACACCTTCAACCTTTCTCACATTATCACAGTTTATTCGCTATAGTTTAGAAAATGGTAATAAAATATGACAAGAACTCAGAGTTAAACTGTGTCAGAACAAATTCAGCTTGATAATGTTAGATAACTTTGATAGAAAGGCATGTAATGGATTACAATAAACCAAAAATTCAGACAACTGTTAGTACAATATTTACACAACTATCAATACTTTGTTGACCAGTTACCCAGCAATGCTTAATTTTGTTCAGTCTGTGGTGTAAAAAAGTCGCATTAGCAATTAAAGAAAAAACACAAGCAAAACATGGTCAGGTCAAAGTGTCGGAATAATTTTTGGTCCCAATTTTGTTTTATCAATTTTACTGGTAGTCCACTGTATGAAGAATTTTTGGGTATAATATGTCACAGTTTACTTTATTTTGCTGTCCTCACTTACATAAATGAACTATAATGTCCTGCACCCACTAGTAAAAAATATCAAAAATTATATCT